ATTAAAAAAAAACCTCCATACTCGCTAAAGTATCTCACTGCGATGTAAAAGTGGTCAACGGTCAGATAAAATGTTGATTTTCAAGACACCCTAATTCAGTTAAAGCCTTGCCAAGTGCTTCTGTCAGAAAAAAAGCTGAGTTGGTAATCTCTTCGGGGAACCCAACGAACACCAGGACCACTAACAGGCCAACAATCAGGCGATGCAGCATTAGTCAAAGCAACTATGGGAAAATTCAAATGCATAGCTGGGGAACCAAACCTAGCATTCATATGAATGAAAAACCAAGATGCATCGCATACACACACACACACACACACTCACACACACACATACATACACACAAGCAAACACACACACACGCAGGCACACCTGTGACAATATGCGTTTTGTACTGCTGTTACACAGCGTAAAGCGTATAAAAAACCAATTTTGAGCACTACAGACCTGTTCGAAATCGTTTACCCCGAGCAAACATTGAATCCATCAGGGTTTTCATATCATGCTCTACATAATCCATCACTAGATAAATTTTATCCATATTTGAGCCGATTACTATTTCCTGAAATGATTCGTTTTCGCAATGTTCATAAGGACACTTTAACAATGTGCATAAGCAAATTTGAAACTCCAAGAACAGCTGCTACTGGATGTTTTCTCTTCATCGACAGAATGTTCAGTTGCGGCACTAAATTTTGAAATGTATGCGACTCAATGGTCTAAAATATCTTGATTTTAGCTAAATTACTACTTTTTTAAATAAAAACTCTGAACTTCAATTCTCTAAATTTCCAAAATATCTCACTATTGAACAAATATTTACTCTTTAAACAATGTCTACGATTCTATTTAAACCTAAAAAATAATAAGATAAAAAAAATATTTTAATGTTAAAAGAACTGATAAAATACTGAAAAAAATTTTTTTAAATAGTAAAAAATGTTTCGGTTCATTAAGTCGTACACATTTCTTACCATTACCACAATTGGACCTCGTCAGTGCGACGATTGTTGTAATTAGTACGAATTTAATTAAAATTTAAATTGTTTTATTAGAATGGGATAGGTAAAGTAATAATAAGTGGGCAATAAAGAGGAAGAGTGAGTGAAGTTGATATATATATAAAAAAAAAAGAAAACCAGCATCTAATATTAGACAAATACAGTTCTCAAGGCGCTTACCCGAACGTTTACAATATTCGGATGGTCACCCGCTTTCAAAAGCATGTTTATTTCACGAAGTGACGTTATTGGAAAGCCTTCTTTTTCTTTCTCCATTTTCAAAAGCTTCAACGCAACAATTTCGTCTAAAATATGTAAAAAATTAAAAAAAAAAATTACAAAATTACAATGTTACATATCTTAACTGTAATAATCCAGCTTTTTGGCGCAAACGTGTGTTTTTGCAACCAAAACTTTACGCTTTCTCTATGTAAAAAGTTAGCATGCGTGAAACTAGGTAATTATTACGTTTTCCTTGCCCCAAAAATCAATCAGCATTCTCATAAAATTTCAGCTTTCTAGCTTTCTGAATGCCACCAAGCGGCTAGGCTATTAACAGCAATGCCAATTTGAAGCCTCCCCCCCCCCCC